TTCTAAAGGATGCTACCAGGGTCTCTGGTCCAGATAGTGAATAATACAGTTTTTTCTTTCCCATTTTGGGTGATGAGATTCTTTGGTACCTTACTTATGTCGATGTTCTTAGCCTTGTCTGGTTTATCTAACAATTTGTCAGTCAAATTCTTAAGCTCGGTTGTCATTGACTTAAAGAGATCCTACAACAGAAAGTAAAATATCAATTAATACAATGAAAAATGTGCAGATATATCTGAAGAAGTGAGGTAACTCCAGAAAGTAAAATATCAAATTAAACAAGATAGTACCTCAAAAAGCAGAGATATTAACTGGCCAGATAACTCCAACCGCTTGTTTCCCACATAATCCTACAAGTTAAAAGCACATAGCAGATGATCACTAACTCTTCTCCTTCATTATAGAAATTAAAAGCAAATTAGCAGATGATCACTAACACTTCTCCTTCATTGTGAATATCCAAAGCTAATACCAAGTCATATAGTGGAAACACCTATGTTAGAGATACAAGATCTTGCTGCTGTATGTACTGCAATGCAGTGCATGACACTGTATCCTAATGGACCTAACCTAGCAAGTTAGTTCTTTGTTACTGCCAGTTAATATCAGTTAGTGATTTTTACAGTTAGGTTTCTGTTGTTCAGAGCACTTGTGTTCTTCCTCTACTCCAGTTTATTAACATGGTATCAAGAGATTAAAGATCAATGACTGAAGAAACTCCCTCTTTCTTCAACTCTCCTCCTCAACCACCACCAATTCATGCCTCTCCAATTCCAACCCATCCTCCTCCACCACCACCAGAAAACCCTCAATCTCATCATTTAACAAAACATGAAAGTGTTAAATGACACCAAAAAAAAAAAGAAACAAAAAAACAGGGACATAAAGTTGAGGAATCACTCTAAACATGACTCTAGAATATACAATGTTACTTTCTTGTATCCAGTCAATTCTTTTTGTTAAATATATGATCTGATATGATTGATTCTTTTGTAATTAGGGAAACTTGTATAGAAAAAATTACGGATTCTACTCATTATTACCCATTATCTTTTATTTCCATATTTCCTTATTTATTATCCTTATTCATTATAAATAGAGGATTACATGTGTGGTAATGTACATGCATTTTCTCAGCATTTCTACATGGTATCAATAGTATAAAGGTTTTATTTTTCTGGTTTTGTTTTTTGCTCCAGTGGCTAGGCATGAATAGTAGCCACGACCACGACCCCTTTGCCACTGTTTTTCAGTCTCTGGTGTACTGTTCACACACCCAACGCAAACGTGCATTTTTTGCACGGTTGGTACTCCTTTCTTTGGCCTTCCACCATCCTGGCAACCCTTCACAACTGTTTTTTGCTGCTGTTTTGTGTCCACTTCCAATTGTGGATCTGCTGTAACTTTTACCACAATTTCATTGATTCCATGTGAAAAGTTGATTGACAGCCAACAACGAGACTTGGGCCACTACTGTCCAGTTGTGGTTCCAAGGCCAAGGTCATGCAACTCACTTGACCACCCAAACCAAGGATGTCCCTGCCATGGTTCGAGTTTGTTGGCAGCAAGCTGATGCTTCTTTGTGTAGTGTTATATGGTTTTCTCTTACTCCCAACCTCCAAGCGCAGTTTCAGGCATATCCATCTTTCTATGAGGTGCGAACTAAAGCAAAGAAGGTCTAACCCAGTGATGTCCACTGTCTCTAAGCAATTTTAACACAACAAAAAGGGAAGGCATAAACTTGGACTGACAAGCCAAAAATAAAGAAGAAAATAAGATGGAAAGGGTGATGGAGGACCATCCATGGAGCTTCATGTGAGACCCATCACTAAGCCAATGGCTAAGAGAGTGGAAGAGGATAGGGAACTGTATAAAAGCAATTTTTTTAAAGACAAGCCAGAGGATTCAAGAAAGATTTAGCAATTTTCCGTCGGAAATTTACATTTTTCTTGTAGTGTTTGATTCTATCATGATAAAATTAATTTTAAAAATATTTTTGAATATTCAATAATTAAAATAATGAAGATAAGAGATAAGATAAAATATATAAGTAAAATAAGAAAAATAAATATGAAAAATTTCAAATTCTTACTTTTTTTTGGGAGAATTTGAAATTCTATTATTTTTAGAAATTTCACGAATGCTTGGAACTCAAATTCATTGTAAATTCTTCATCCAAATAAAGTATTTTATCTCAAAAAATTTAAAATTCTTCAAATAAATGAATCATCCTATTTAAATTTTCCATCCAAACACATTATAATTGTTCTTTGTGTCATGTGAACAAGTCACCGTAAATGTGTTTTCTTCATTTTTTGAATGGATTAGATACTACTTTTTCTCCTTGTAATTTTCATATTTAATATAACTTATATTTTCTTTGTGCTTGTCTACTCATCCATCCCTATGCTCTCATCTTAAGCACACTTATCATTTTGCGATAGTAGGAACTTACATATTAGACATTTACTTATAAAGCGTCACTAGCTTTCTTGCTTTAAAGTGAAATTTTCTTTGATAGTCACTTTGCTATCAGAATTTATGCTTTCATCTGTGTGACATTGCTTTCAGTTTCCCTATCTCTTTATAAGATGGGTCCAAGATGCCTATACTTTGCAAAGTGTTATGTGATTTGGTTCTTAATTTTACCTTTATAACATTACTCGGTCATCTCTTACTCGTGGGCATTCTGCATACTCCTTGTCCTACTTAATACCAAAATCCATATTTCGAAAAATTGGACCAGATCAGTGTATTTGATCTTGTGTCCAGTTTGCTTAAGCCCCAAAAACAAGTTGATTCCAAAACCACTGGAAAGAGATAATAATTCATTTCAAGATTTCCAACTATTTCATCTTTTCCTTCAGCATCATTAAAAATAGGACAACTATTTCTGGTGCATCACGAGATAATAATGTCAATTCAAGATTTCTAACACCATTAAATAGCCAAGAATCTCCATCAATGTCCCACATCTTAGAGTAATCCTTTCCATGTATTCACTTTTCTTAGACAAATTTGCAAAGTAGTATGCATATAAACCTAATCTTCTATTATTTTAGGATTCAATTTGTTTCTGTTCATTGAGTGTATGAAGGAATATGGACATCGTACTCCAATTCTTTGCACCACAAGATGAGGAATTAGGCAGCACAAAAAGCCTCAAAGAAAGCTATTGAATGAGAGAACAGAAAAACCATGTATCACTCACCAAGATTTAGGATTAATGTCCACCAATTTTCAATCAAGTTAAAAGAAGCAATTTCTTTTGATGAAAAATCAACATATTCAAGTGCAACATTTTTCTTATTTGCAATAATTTTGAAAAACTTGTTTAAACACTTATTCCTCTCAAAAGATATATCTTCATACTCATGTAGGGGAATTTTATTTAGAGTCATTCATCATTAAAATACATATAAATCATTCATAACTTATTAGTTATCTTCTTGTTTATAAGAAATAATTGGAAAATATAAATATTTGATAGGCTATTTTTTTTTTTTAAATTCATAGCAGAGTGAGTCATGCAAGGGGGAGGGGTACAACTTCTAGTCCTCCCATTAATTAGTATAGAATAAATAATTTTATAGAATTTTGATGTATCATTTTGTCCTTTTTATATAGATGCCTTCACTTTTTTTATTATAATATCTCATCTTACAAACCAAATGAAATGTGCAACTATATATTTATATCATAATATATCTAAGTGTGGTATAGATAGATCTAACGAAATAAAAAATATATGCAATTTTGTTCCATCATATATCATTCAAAATTAAATCTTTTACAAGGTGAGTTGTTCACATCATCTTTTATGTAAGAGATTCAATCTTCCCTAATATATTTAAGACGGCAAAGAAACCTTTAAAGGTTTAATTTTTTCAACATCCCTACAACGAATGCAATAGTGTTGTAGCAACAACAAACAATTTTAAAGGTAAGACACATTGAAAATAGCAAATCTTGCGGAGTTTTTCATATAATAAAGTTCCTAAAAAAAAGAAATATCAATAACATCTTGAGTAATCCTGCTATTTTCATCCTAACATACCACTTTTTTCATGTTCTTTATTGCCCATGTTTTTCAATGTAGAGTTTAATGTGTAAATAACACATGTACTCTAAAAAGCTTCAGGAAATGCAACTACAATAATCATTGCAACACCTTTTGCATATAAAAGCATTATATGTTATAGTTTATACTATATTTTATTCCCTTAGTAGTGCTATCAACTACACAATGCTTGTTTTTAATTTCATCATAAATATCAATAACTCCCAAAAAGTTGTATCCTTTCAATTACTAAAATTCTACTAACAAAAATTCCCAACAAATAAATTATTACTCTAAATAAAAAGTTCTATATTTTTTTTGGATGAAAGCTACTAGCTAGTTGTCATTTCTTGAACTATTTGATCCTTTGTTTAATATACTAACGTAAGTCAAAAGGAGATAAAGGATTAAATAGTGAGGGTTATGATAGGATTATCTAGCAATGCGGAAACATCACAATTTTCTTTTACAGTTTCAGAGAGATCTAAAATTTCTAGGTATGCCTCCATTTTCACTAGAAAAATTTATGAAAAGTTTGCTTCTACTTTCATCTCTATAGGTCGTAACCTTAACTCTAAATACCAATGATGTAGTTATTGATGAGATATTATTTGCTTTAGGCTTAAAGCCTCACAATTTTGCTTCTAATCATCACTCAAAAGGTCTCAATCATTGGAATATGTGTATGTTTTATAAATTGTTATTTTTTCTCTTATTTTATCGATATGAAATTTGTTTGTATAATCACAACAATGAGTGATTTAATTGTTATATTCTAACATGTCGTATATATGAAGACTTGACCAATAGCTATGAGTTTTAGTAGTAGTTGCATAAAATGTGAATCACGTGATATATATGTCATACCTAATGTTCCTTTGTATTTCTACTGGTCATGTTGGAAGATGTTTTTTTTTCTCTTTCTTCTAATTCAGTTTTAGTCTTTATTCCTCTCAAGTCTCAACATACTCTTCTCGAAATCGGGATTCCATGAACATGATGGACATGGAAACATCAACGTCTTTCCATGATTTTCTCAATCGCATGCGACACCCTTCGTCCCTCGACCTCGTTCGGTCCATCAAGAGGTAACACGCATTTCACTTTTCTTTTAATTCATTTTTCATTGTTGATGCCTCACTTTGTCATGCATTCATATGTTCGTAAAATCAAATTAAGTTGTAAGAGAAAATACAAACCAGCTTTTATATATATATATATATGATTATTATTACTACGTGGCAGCCCATTTCATCGCATTTAATTTTCCATTTGACATTGACTTAACCATATAAAAACTGCTGTATAACTCCAATTTTTACACTCTTAGAACATATGAATGATCTTTGAAATAGATCTATGATAGACTTAACTTTACAAAACAAGCTTGAAGATGAAAATTGTCTATGCTAATATACTATGTTACTTTGAAAACTGAGAACACCAACTATATTAGAATGAAGATGCTGAATTGCATAGTTTTTAATCTAAAAAAAGAGAAAATATAACATAGAGGAAGATAGAAAATAGAGTGAAGAGAGAGCAATATTCAATACATTTAAATTTACGTTATGATTATAATTAATCACAAAAATTAAAAAATAATTATTTATAAAATATTTGATAATTTAATTTAATTAAAATTTTAATAATCAAATTATTATATCTCATCAAAATCAATATTAATGAGACTTCAAAAATCATCAATTAATAAAATAATTATTTTAAATTTAAATTAAATTTAAAATAGTTTTATGAATAAATTAAATTTTTTAAAATATCTCAAAATATATATAAAAAAATACTCTATTTTAATCAATCTTATATATAATCATCATAAGAATTTGATAGTTTAATATTAATTGTAGTGATATTTTCTGTTGTTACTATGATCGAGGATTTATATGTCTTGCCTAGTTTCAGTTGATTCATGATTATTTTGAATATGTTGCCTTTCGATGTTTTGATCCCCCTCTAAAATTGGTTTCCAAGCAGAGTAAGAATTGAATGCTAACAAGAAAATGTTAGGGGATTTCAGTTTCCAAAGTAGGAAATTAAATAGTGTTGAATAATTGAACTCATTTATCTTGTTCTGCCTCTGCAATACTATTCAGATTTAATTATATATCAACTTTGGTGTAATTCCTGTATATGTATTTCTTTTCCAAAACCGAACCAATTATTTTAAGAAAATTTTGCTCTATAAGCTGCCAATCGCACTGATCAATTTCTTGTGAATATTTTTAAAGAACAAAACAAATTTTTTTAATTAAATCATACTCGATAAAGTACAAGATCTACTCATACAAAATATCAAATTACAAAATTGCAAATTTCTTATGAATCTAACGTACAAATCTCCAAACTAAGCCTGCTGCTTCATGTATGATCGGTTGATCAATATTGTTTACATGAAGATATCGTATAGAGACTATTATTATATATATATTCCCATATATTTCTATTGGCAAGTATTTCTTTATATTGAAAAATGTTAGTAGCTAATTCTCGTCTTGTCACACGTTTTTCAAGTTATTTTATAAAAGTTGCACCACTAGTATACTTGATTTGTGGCACTCTCGTGCTTTCTATTTCATTATATTTTATTAAATAATTATGTGACAAGCTATGCTGCATAATATATTTTTCTTATGTTAAATTTTGTTTCTTTTGTTTTATGAATGCTTCTCTTAATTCTGACGGAAAATTATTTTATCAGCTTTATAGTATCATTTTCATTTTACCAACCGAAGCCTGAAAATGATGGGAAAAAAGTTCAAGACTTCTTTCTTTCAATGGAAGCTGCAATCAGAGATCATCCACTGTGGACCACTTCCTCTGAAGAAGACATTGATTGTGCCTTGGAGGTACGTTCACCAAATAATTACATATTTGATAAATAAGTTTATATAGAAAATTAATTTTAATTTATAGAGAAAAAATTAATTTGTTTTTTCATAAGTATTTGTTGAAAAATTTATCTAAAACAAAATTAATGTTTTATGAGATTTGGGTTTCACTTGATTCCTTAATCTTTTTTATTTCATCCCAGTGTGTCAAGATTTTGTCTTAAACTAATTTGATTGGGTCGGAAATTAAGTAAAACTTGATTCCTTAATCTAAGTCTAAGATCAAAAGATTATTTAAATCCTAATTTGTAATAAGTTTTTTTAAGTAAGTGGAAAACCTTACCTCCTAAATAAGGTAATAAATATAATATTGTATAAAATACTAACAGAGATGTTATATTTTTTATATTTAGCCTAATAATAAACTTATTGAATAATGTGAATTTAGCTTTTTTATTTATATATTAAATATTATACTTAAATTTTTTTGTCCTAATTCACTTATAGTAATATATAACTTGGATTTGCTAACTTATATACATTTGTTTTTTTTAGAAGGAATAAGTTAGTAAGTTATATTTCGTTGCATTTTAAAAAATATTGTAGTCATAACTATTAATATAATCCTTCTAAAAAAAATATGTGGATGTATGTTAGCAAATCCTACAACCATTTGTTAACTTAAATGGAAATTTTTTATTTATATCTTGAGCAACTTGAAGAAACTGCTACTTTTCTTCATGGAGAACTTGAAGAGAAATTATATATGCTCTAACTAGAAGGCTTTAAAGAATAAGGAAAATAAAACATGGCTTGCAAGTTGATTGACCTTTGTATGGTCTAAAGCATATATGTGTCGGGATGTTGGTATAAGAAATTTGATTCCTTCATTATTAGCCTTGGTTAAAACATACTAAGTTTAGACCATTGTACATATTACAATAGGTTTGATGACAATAATTTTATCATTTTGTTGTTTGTGGATGACATGTTGGTGGAACGTCCCAACAAAGATCAAATTTAGAAAGTGAAGGCATAATTGTCTAGGGAGTTTGATATGAAGGGCTTGGTACCAATAAACAAGATTTTAGGGATGCAAATTCAACAAGATAGAAAAAATAAGAAGATTTGGCTTTCTTAAAAGACTGTAAGACATGTAAGATTATAAGCCAATTTCTACCCCACTTCTTTTTTTATTGTAACTTATCTTCAAGTATGAGTCCTACCAAAGAAGTAGAGAGGATGGAAATGTCTCGAGTACCATGTGCATCAAAGGTGGGAATTGCCTTATGTATGTCACGATTTGTACAATATCTGCAGACATTGCACAAGAAGTGGGAGCAATTAGTAGATTTATAGCAAATCCTGGTAGAGAGTAGTGAAATGTTGTTAAGAGGATCCTCAGATACATCAAAGGAACTTTAGAAGTTGCATATTTTTTTTAGGATTGGAAGACTATGTCTATTCAAACTTTATGGGTGATCTTGATAAGAAAAAGTCTATTACATGTTATGTGTTTATACTTGCTAGAGGGACAGTAAGTGGGTTATCTCTAAGTTACAAATTGTTGTGGTTTTGTCTACTACAAATATTGAATATATGGCAACTAACGAGGCATGCAAGGAAGCAATTTGGATTCAAAAGCTAATGAAGGAACTTAGGCACAAATAGCAAAAGATTACTGTGTATTATGATAGTCAAAGTGTCTTACACTTTGTAAGGAATCCAACCTTTCATTCTAGGACAAAGCACATAGACATACAATACCACTTTACTCGATAAGCAGTAGAGGAAGGAAATGTGGATATGTAATACCTAAAACAACTTCGCAGATGTGATGATAGAGGCGGTCAATGTTGACAAGTTTATAAGGTGTTGATCCACTTGTGGCCTATTGAAAACATAACCAACATGGAATGTTAAAGAATAAAGAGCGGTGTGAAATATGATTAGCTCAATCATAATCTTCATGTGGGAGAATTGTTATGTTAAAAGTCTCACATTGGTGGGTTTACTTTGTGGGGTCCCACACACAAGCTATAAATAAAGCCTTGTGGTCCCTTTTAGAGCATACCAAAATCTTTGTTCCTTTTCCTATATCTTTTTTTTTTTACTTTTTGAGAGTTTTTCTTAGTAGTGATATTCTCTTATTTTATGGAGAGAAGTGTTGTAATTACTTTCATTAGTGGAGTTCCTCTTTTTGCCTATTGTCTTATTTTGTTCTTATTTTCTCTTTTCTTACTGTAGTTAAGTTATTATTTTGTTATTATGGTATCTAACATAAATGCCTTTGACTTTGCCTGATTTCGCCTAACATATTCATCTAATTATATTATGCATGATCTGTAGGGTTTGGAGAAATATATAATGACTAAATTGTTCTCCCGAACATTCTCTTCATCTCTTGAGGATGAAAAGATTGACAATGAAATCTCAGAGAAAATATGCTTACTCCAAACTTTTCTGAAGCCTCAACATTTGGATATACCACCAAGTCTTCATAATGAACCCTCATGGCTGGTATGCCTCAATAGGATGCAATATTAAATTTAATGTTAATCATTTCTCTTTGGCATGCATTTCATTTCCAATAAGTATATTTAAATGTAAGAATTACAGGAAACTGTTTCTTTATTATCAGCTTTGAAGCTTGGAAAAACGTTTATGGGGAATACTTTATTATTTCAGTAGTAGAAGCATAGTAGAGAAGAAAGGACAAAAAATTATCTCATAAGCCATGGGAAACAAACTTACTTCACTTATGGTATATATTTATTGGGTTAAAGATGAACATAAAATGATTCTATTGTTTTCATCTAATAACTTAGCTTATGAAATATTTGTTTCCTCTCTTAATACCCCCTAAATAAGTGATCTAGAGTTTGATCTTGGAACTCCCATACTTATAATAAAAATAATAAAAAAATAGTAGAATAAGTGAGCTTGTGTATTGTTAGTGCCCTTGTGCGAGGAGCATGTTCTATAAAATTATTTGTGTCTTCACTTAATAACATAATGTTCTGGATTAATTGGTTCTTGAGAAATTATTAGCACCATTAAGATATCACATTAGAACAAGACATATGTACAAATGAGTTAGATAAAGGGCATTCAAATTTTTGTATAAATAAGAACCATATATTTATAGGAAGAATTGAAAAAAAAAAATTATGGGTATGATGAATAATATGTTGGCATCATTTTCCTTTTCCATTCAGCTTGCAGAGAAAGAATTGTTGAAAATGAATGCCTTCAAAGCTCCCCATGAGAAAGTCATGTGCATTATGAATTGTTGTAGGGTCATCAACAATTTGTTGCTAAATGCTGCAACGTCTGAGCATGTGCCAACTGGGGCAGATGAGTTTCTCCCTGTGCTCATATATGTCACCATCAAGGCAAGCTCCCTTTGGTAATAATACATTTTACTAATTGTCTAATATACTTTTTGCATAGTGAAACCCTCTTTTGTTTACTGTATAATAAAGAGAATAGATTATGCTTGATTTTTGTTGGACTTCCTACGTTGACTAGTGATATAATCAAAAATTATATGTATCAATTTAGAGCAATACTCACCGTATAAACTAAATTTTTTGAGTTACATTAAGTCAACATTCGAATTCTACGATGATTCTAGTCTTATAAGATCATTTGCTATTAAATCATTATTAAACCACTTAAAGATCCTCAATGAGTTAGCTTTTAGATTGCAAGTAGATCTAACCCCAAATTTTAAGAGTTTGGGGTAATAGTATTTTATTTGTTTGCAAAATCATTTGATTTCAATTTGACTAACTTGTAAGGCCTCATTATGATTTACCTTGGCATCATTGTCATGTTTTGAGTTTATAACTTGTTTTGGTTAAACATTAACTTTTCCATTAATTGATTTTTGTCCTCTAGGGTCCACTTTACACTAGCCTTTGACACTAATTTCTTCCTTTTAATTTTTCACTTTCAGGCAAATCCTCCAAAGTTGCATTCTAACCTCAAATTTATCAAGTTGTATAGAAGGCAAGCAAAACTCATCTCAGAAGCTGAATATTATTTCACAAATCTTGTGTCAGCTAAGTCATTTATAGTTGACTTAAATGCTAAATCTCTTTCAATGGATGAAATCAAATTTGAGGAGAACATGCAAGCAGCCAAATTGACCAATAAAGTCACCAGTGAATCATCTTCTACATGTCAACTGAACCAACAAGAGAAGAACGAGTGTAGTTGTTCAATGAAAATGCACAACAAACTTGATGACCCTAGAGGTTAGTTTAATTATTTTTCTTAATCCCTTACTTTTGTATGTGTATAGTTAAGTTTATGAATTTAACCGTTATCTACCATTAGTGGAAAAAATATAATGGTAAAAATATTTATACTATCAACTAGTTAGAAATCATATTTAGTATGACCAAGAAGATAATTATTATCAAAGTCAACAAACTTATTCTACGTAATGATTATTGATTGAATGATAGTATAAATACATTTACATCATCATTGTATATCCTATTTTTCCCAAGTTTTATTTTAAATAAATAATAATTTTGTTTCAATCTTTCTTAAAGATCTTTTAAAAATATAATTATTTTCTCAAATTAGTCCATACCAAACATGCAAAAAGTGTCAATTTTGATGAACTTTTCATAACTTTTGTACGAGAAAATAATAAAATTAACTAAGAAAGTAAAATAAATATATTTTCTGTTGCAAGTTATATTAACTTATGCTTCTCAAGATTTTTGAGAAATTTCTACTAGAAAAAAAATTATTTTAAGAAGAGAACTTCTAAAAAGACGTTTATAATTTGTATTCAAAAATAGACTATAAATCACTTATTTCATAGTAGTAGTTGTTTATTATTTGGTTTGGTACCTTTGTTTTCAGCCCTTAACATTATTACAATAACACATTGCAGTTTTTCAAGTTTTGAATAATAGATCAAACTATCCTTACATGGAAGCAAAGAGCAAAGAGCTAACCGTTGGAGACGTGGACACATTATTAAATCACTACAAGGATTTAGTTGCTAAGCACACAATCTTGTGCAAAGCAATTAGTTTCCTTTCAACATCAGAGAGAGAACCCCTTCTTCGTCATTTAGAAAAGCAAGGAGCAGGAACACTGATTTTGCAACACCATGGGATCAACACAGACACATGTGATCCACACCCACAACAAGATAATTAATTGACAATTAGAATGTTCATATATATATAATTACTTTTGTAGTAAATGAATCCAACTCCACTAAAGTAAACAACTCATTTTAAATGATAAAATACATTATTTTAATTGTCTGACAAAAACTCAACAATATATCAAGTACATATGTATAATAAATATCAATCAAACTAAAATATCAATTATTTTTATTAACCACCATCTTACTTGTTTTCCCTTTCTTTAGTGTTTCTATACATTTGAATATAATGGGAATAAGTTACATACATTTTCCACTAAGAATTTGAGTTTGGCATGGATTCTAAAAAATGAATCCTAGATGCACCAAAGTTCATAAATAAGTGAATCGAAAGGATTATGGATTGTAATCCAAAGTTTTTTGTTGTGAAACAATCATTTTTGGTCCATTGAATGTGTAGATTCAAGTGCCTTTTGAGGTAGACTTGTAAAAATGGATGCAACAAGGACATGTACAAATGGATGGCTTATTGAGTTTGACATGGATTCTAAAATTCGAATCCTAGATGAACCAAATCCATAAATAAGTGAATTGAAAAGATTGTAATCCAAACTTTTTTATTCAATACTACATTAGAGAAGAAAACTAATACACTATGAGAGTTATTTATGAAGGGGAGATGAGAAAAGGCTCCAAAGAATGTTAAAGGTGAATTTAAACAATTTTTAAGAATCAATTCAATGAAACATCACTAGTGAAATCAATTTTGAAATATCTCCCTTTTAGAGATATAGTAGAAGAAACAAATGAGAACCTAATAAATTTTAATGAAAATGCGACATGTTTTACGGGATATAGATGCATCAAATATAGTCAATAATTAATTGTTCAATAATTTATTTATTTATTCTTATGTGTACATTTGTACATATGAGTGCACGTAGTTGTTTTTGGGTTTGTTGGTTAATGATTATTTTTTTATACTCTATATATATAACTAATGTGTCCAAGAAGTTGATGAATACAATTTTTTTCTTTTTCCTTTATGTATAGTTTTGTCATAAAGTATCAAAGCTGAAAAAGTTCTACATACCCAATCATCTCCTTTATTCTTTAATTCTTTCTCTAATTTATGGAAACATTTGTAAGTGGTTCTCAAATCAATGTTTACCCTTCTAAAAATCCTTCTAATTCTCAAATCAATGTTGACCTTTCTCAAAATCTTTCTAGTTTGTATTAATTATACCATGGAAAAAACCCATGGGTCGTTCTTGTATCACCTTTGATGGATGGCACCAATTACCATTCTTGGAGTTGGGAAATGAAGAGGGTTTTATTGTCAAAAAATAAACTCAAGCTTGTTACCAGTAAAATTGAACATGCTTAGCAATTTAATTCTTTATGCGATATATGGGAAAGATGCAATGTTTTAGTAGTTTCATAGATATCAATAACCTTTTCTTTGCTAAAAGCACGATGTACATTGAAAACATCGTGGAATTATGGAATGATCTTAGGGAACTATTCTCAAAAGGAAACCATTTGAGAATTTCAAACCTTTTGCAAGAAATTCGCTCGACTAGGCAAGGTAAAAGAAATGTTTCAAAATTCTTCCCAAATTTAAAAATTATCTAGGAAATTCAAATGTAGCTTGAGCCAAGACATCAAAAGGAAAATAGATTCAAAATATTTTATATGTTTCTTGAAAGGATTTGGTGATCAATAATGCACTATGAGAGCCTAAATTTTATTAGTGGAGCCTTTACCACCTATTACCAAGGTTGTTTCTTTAGTCTTGCAACAAGAAAGACAAATTATAAGGAATATCTTTGGAATTTTATTTTTTGGTAACAATATGCTACCCTCAAACTCAATGGGAAAAGGCTCTTCTCAAGGAGGGAGAAAGCGTAGTAGATTTAACCTTGGATGAGGAACGACCAACAATACTAATGTTAAGATGTGAAGTTACTATGGAAGGATGCGACATTCCATTGAAACATGTTATATGAAACATGAATTTCCACCAGGTTTCAAAGGTAAGGGAACTTTTTCACCTCTAAACAATGTCACCACTAACAATGTTGAAAAAGATAATTCACAACAAACAAAACCAATGCCAAAGGAAAATTTCAATTATGGAATTTTTATTACTTTATACATTTATTAGAAGTTGATGAGTTTGATTCAAAATTATGAGAAAAGTCATTTTTTATGCAGCTCAAGTCAACATTATTTCTGAAAATCGAAACAACTCCACTGATGTAAGTGCTCGATTTAATTCCAAACATTTTTGGATTTTAGATACCGGTGAAATTGATCGTGTATGTCATTCTATTTCCCTATTTTCTTCATATCATATTATTTCTCCTATTCACATAAAGTTGCCAAATGTTTATACTACAGTTTCTCGATTCTCAAGGACCATATATTATGTTTTCTAACACTTTTATGTTACATTATGTTCTCTTTATTCATTATTTTCAATTCAATCTAATTTTTGTTAATAATTTGTACAATTCTTTCAACTACCAATTAACCCTTGACAAGAATTCATGTATGATTTAGGAACTTCCTACATTGAAGATGAATATGTATGCTAGAGTTCACAACAGTATATGTGTTAGATAATCAAGTGATACCAATTACTCAATGTTCACCTTTTGACAATTACATTTGTAATGTTCATTGTATAAATCCTATGTTTTATGTATGGCATTTTAGATTGGGATACCCTTCTCATCAAGTCTTACAAAAATTTGGTACTCTATTCCCTTGTGTGACTTTTGACTATAATAAAATGTGTTTTTTGTTACTTTGTGTAACGACTTGTCATATCACTACACTTGATATAGAACATTTACTAAATAAAGAAACATACACATCAACTAGCTTAGAGTTATCATGCAAATAGTTTCTAAATATTCATGCAATAAATATATGTATAGGGTTCAAAAACATAAAATAGTCTTGTTAATATCAATTGAAAATATAATTCTCGTTAAGCGGTTTCATATTCATCCCTGTACATATAAATATATACATCAACAAAAAAATATATGTACTAAAAACATAAAACTCTAGGTTTCAGTCAAGCATTCTAAAAACAAGCTATATCCTAACAGTTTCTCCATAAAACACCATCATCTACAAGTTTTCCCTCCACCTAATCTTGACTTGCTATCATAAGCTTGTTTAAATATAAACAAAATATGTAATAGAAGCAACACCAATCTGCATCAACTTCACAATAACAACTTTCAACACAAACTTCATAGAGATACAATACATCAACTAAGTTATACAACTCAACAACAACTTAATTTCTTAGCAACATAGGCATACAATTTGATCAATGCAAGAATACATCTCTGTTAAGTCAAAAGACAATCTTGGATCTCTTGAGTTTAGTGTTTCAATGCTAACAAACAAAACATTTTTTTATAAAAGAAAATGTCTTCAAAAATATCTTTGAAAATATTTATCAAACGAAGTGCAAGACGCAAGTCGTCTATAAGACAATGTAAATCAAACGAAACATATAATTTGTCTCCTATACATTAAATTCTTATTATTTAATAAGACTAACAACAAAAGCTTCTTGAATGATTCACTCCTTAAAAGATCAAACTAGAAGATTATCTTGGAACTCATTAGTTTGTTAAAGAGAATAAAATCATTCTTTTCATCAAGACCAAGGCCAAAGATTCTTAAAATCACAGAGAAAAATAGATAAAGTCACTGTTATTGCTACACTATGCTGACATTACTTCTACAAGCTCTCTTTAATATGAAAGATGATAAGTTGCCTTCTTGATTAGATAAGAGATATCATTTAATGAAATGCATTTAATGTTTACATTAAATGAGTCCAACGACTATATGTCATCATAAGAAATGATGATGAAGACAAATAAAACAAACTCGTGAGCTAGACCCAAAGTGTTGCAACGATCATCTTTTCTAAGTTACTATATTAGAAGACTCAAAGCTCAAGAAAGGAGACACGCACAATATACAGAAAAGATGTATAGAAAGAAACATTCTCTATAAATCTATTCTTTCTTATAAAAATTTTACTACCTTATGCTAGTTGTATAATTTCTAAGTGAGACATACAAAATTTATGTAACCTTCATAACCATTATTATAAGGTTAAGCTTAGAGAGACTTGTCTGAAAAAGAATATTTGTTTTGAGCCTAAAGAGGCTTGACTGTAAAATAATACTTGGTTATTAAGCTTGGAGAGGCTTGTTGTTAAAAGAATACTTGGGTAATTGCTTGAAAAGGCAATTCAAAGAATATTTAGGGTTGAGCCAAAAGTGGTTTGTTAAAAGAATACTTGTATCTTTATTTTAAAGATAGTGAAACTCAATTTGGTTGGATTAAGAACTAAACATAATCTCAATGGTTGAGACAAACTAATATAAAAATATCCAATGTTCCATCTGACTGCTCTCGTGCTTCATCTAACTAGCGTTACTACTTCACTACGAAAAATGTGCGAGTTTTTTATACACATTATTCAACCCCTTTCAAGTATTTATCTTTTCTCCACAATGTCAACATCATATAAGATAACTCAGCAACATAATAAACAACACAACATCTCCATGCATTCCAACTATTTAAGGAGATTTCCTACAACACACATGAGTCGTTTAAGTAGCTTGACCTTTACTAAAAAATACATAGCATAACCCTTCTTTTGTAGGTCGAAACAACTCAGGTTTGGCTATTAAGCCATAATTAACTCAAAAATGGTTTCTTGGATGTCATCACTTAAACTAGAAAAGTTCAATATTATTGTCAAGAATAGAACAACTTTGATATGGGACTACCACGACATTAGTATGAATCAACTAAGCATATATGATATTAACTTGCTAACTACCCTCCAAATACCAGTCAATAAGGCATTTGACCTTTGACCTTATGCCATACTCATTGGTCACTTCACAAAATAGTATGGCTCAACCCTATTCCCATACTGTATAAACTAAGAACTTAAAGGAGACAGCTTTTAAAACAATTGTTCACTTCAAGAGTCAACTCTTTCTTAAGGGTTTTCATCATTGGCCTCCTAGAGCACCACAACATAGATCCTCACAATGGGATTTTTCACCACATGAAACAACTCACCCTCTTTTGTTTTAAGTTCAACTTCACAACACAAGAAGCATGCACCATTCATATTCCACTCAAACAACATTTCTCTTATACCACGTACATCATATCTCAACTCAACATCGCATGTATACATATATACCTCATCATCTTGAATATAAGAGAAGCATAAGAACATAAATTTCTCAAAAGTCAACACATGTCATAAAGTATCATCAACTCAACATCATTAATTTCTTTCATCTGAAAATCCACCAAACAACTCAAAAGAAACAACATAATACAAACTTCCAAAAATAAGAGTCAACTTGGTTGATTTATTGATATGTCATTTTGGCTAGTAATGATTTAAAAGTCATTGCTCATTTTAAGCATCAACTTGATGTTACATTAAAGATCAAGGACTTTAAAATTTTGAAATACTTCTTGGGGTTGGAAGTGGCTCGTTCTAAACTAGGTATCACCATTTGTCAACGTTGATACACCTTTGACATACTCTTAGATTCTGGTCTCCTAAGGAAGACCAAACCTAGTATTGAACTAAGGAAGCAAACTGATGGATCTCTTTTACTTACCCAAAGTAAATACATTTGTGATCTTCTCAACAAAACATTTAATGTTAAATTCTAAACCCATCTTAACAACCATGGTTAGTGACAACAAACTTTCTAAAAAAGTCCAAAATCCCACTTTTTATGCTCTATGGTGGGAACACTTTAGTACATCACTATATCACTAGACTAGAGTTGAGTTTTGTAGTAAAATAATGTGTCAATATATGGCTTACCCTCTCAACAACAATTATCAGTTATAAAACACATCATGCACTACTTAAAACATTCACTTTGGCCTATCTTTATCTGATGTTTAAAGAAAACCTTTTTTCTCTTCAAGCCTTTTGTAACATTGATTGGGCATACGACCAAGATTTTAGAAGATCCACCTCAAGGGTCATTGTCTATCTTGGCCTAATATCGTTTCATGGTGGTCATGGAAGCAACTTGTGGTTGCTCAAAGCAATGTTGAAGCATAATATCGCAGCCTAGCTCAAGACACTTTTGAAATACTTTGGGTTCAAACATTGCTCCAAAAATTAAATGTTCCTATTTCACACCTTATTATATTCTATGAAAATCAAAGCACAATTTCTTTATCTCACAAACCAATTTTGCATGCAAAAACCAAGCATATGGAGATCGATCTCTTCTTTGTCCGAGAAAAGGTTATTACAAAATAACTTTCTGTTGTTCATGTCCCTACCTAAGATCAGTGGGTAGACATACATCCTCACCATGTCATTGGCCTCATCTCAGTTCTTAAATCTATAATCCTAGCTCAATGTCACTATACTTCAATCTTCACCTCAACTCCATTGAGCTTGTGAGCGGTGTAAGAGAATATCATTTCCCAATTTTAATTTCCTAGTATTTGGTATCTTAATATTTTTTCTGTTGTAAACTCAATATTGTTTGTTTTTCTATTATTGTTAGGATGATTTTAATTGGTTAACAAGTCAATTATAACAAGTCTTAACCTATCTCTCTATTATTAATAGGATTCTTGTACATAGAGTAGGTACCAATTATACATTATGTATTTTTAACAATATACATCAAAATGATATTCCCTCATACAATCTAGTATTCAAACAAATGAAAACTTCCTACATGTTGATTCCTTAACCAATGCCTTAAAGGCACTGGTTAGTTGGACCCTAAAAGTATAACATTGCTATTTGATGAGAAAAGTTTATCCCAAACATTAACAAAACTTACAATTGAATTTTTTATTTTATTTTATTTAGGTCATAGGTATCTTTGAATGAGATAACCATTCTCGAATTACGTAAGATTACTAAGAGTGACAAGTTTTTTCTTCAAATATTTAATGTATTTGTATATTTAAAATTTAAGCTTAAAACCATTAATTAAAACAATCTTGTACAAATTCATAATTTATTATAATAGAGAACATTTTTTTCTTAAATATAAAACCTATAAATGTATCACACTACCAATGTTTGGATATGTACAAAAGGTTTAATCCATTATACATTGACGACACTCATAATGCATAAGCAAGTATACATAATTGGGAACTACTATTGATATCCATCTTTACTATTTAAATTCCTATTATTTAAAAAAAAATGACAAAAAATGTTCCTAATATAATAATGTTAGACACAATGTTATCAGGACTAGACCAATCATCTACTTGTCGAAGTACTAAATTGATAGATTATTAATCAAACGAGTGGATCATTAATTAAATTGTTAGAATTGGTATATATATATATATATATATATAAAAAATATAAAATAATATATATATATATATAATATTTTAGTTAAAATTTAAAATATAATAATATATAAATTTTAGGTCACGTGTTAACAAAATAGTTATGGTGGTCAAATGGTAATTCTAATTCAAGGGTTCAATTTCATCAAGTTGCAATTTTACATTTTTATTTATACTTAATAAAAACATATAAGTATGATGCAATACCATTTTTACACAAGTTAGAATCACCTTGGGTAGCACATACCTTGGAACTTGGATCATGCAAAGCAACATGTGAGGGTCACCTTGGGCCATGTGCATTTTGGTCAGCAACATGAGCCACGTGGAAATTTTATTCACTATTGATTCAGCCAAAAACAAGTTCACCAATTTAATCCGATTTCAAGTCAGTTCGTTAACATCATCAATACATTAATAACATTTTCGATTCATCCAGTCAACTCGTTTTAACCTATTCATAATATTGGTTGGACAAATCAGTCTGTTCAAATCAAGTTTGATAACACTAGTCGAGCATCACTACGACATAGCAAAAATAAGTTTCTGTTGTGCGTCAAACTACAAAAATATGTTTATATTGAACTGTGAAGTAAGACAAGAAGAAAACTTTTCAAAACTAAACGAAATAATTATTATATAAATTACTCTTTTTGATACTAATTGAATTAATTATTATACAAATTATAGGGAATTTATATCATAATTAACTTTATTATTATTAAAAACAGTAAATTATTTCATAATTAAATCAAATTTTAATTAAAAGCAAATAATCGCTATTAAACAAAAATCAAATTGACATTGTTGTCGATAGGAGCGTCAATGTCACAAGGTGTTATGCAGAGTTGTGTGGGAGCTACCTCCCTTTGTTCTAAGAATGTTCATATCCTTACATGACTCCCCAATTATGAGTCCCTCCATAGCCACTTGTGTAGCATATTGGGGGCAACTAGTAAAAGTTATCGTGCAACGAACACCATAATTACCAGGTAATTATCCATTTATATATTTTCGTTGTTTATTGAACGATAAACAATTATTCATATTAATAATTCATTATTTATTTTTGCATGCATACTTTGACATGATCATAAAAGATAATGCATCATGTATGAACTTGAGAATGGTCAATAAAGACGCCATTTGTTATAAGTTGAAGGAGCATGTATTAAGGACCGCACAAACACACATATAAGAGATATACCTATCAAGAGTAGGAAAAAGTCCCATCAACACAACAAATTTTTATATTTCTATTTGTATTTTTATTTTGATGTTTTCTATTAGTTTTATATACTTCAATTTTTCTTTGGTAGTCTATTAGTATTTTTAAATTATATATTCTTTGGTAAATCTCAATCTCCTTTATTTTTACACAAAGGACTAATGACATACTAATGAATTCAAGTATAAAGGACTAATGACATACTAATGAACTCAAGTATGAATGTTCAAGAGTCAGTGCATTATTATGCTATTTGTCCTTTACAATAGAACACAATTAATAAAAGAAAATCAAAACTATTTATTTCATTGATGTGACCTCCATCATTCCCTTTTAAGTGATCTATGGTTTTTCCCAGAATAAACACCTTTTGTTAATCATTCTAACATTCATCCTTCAATATTTCTACTAAATCCCTTACAAAAATATGAGTTCAACATTTGTTTTGGTTCATTACAATGGTCAAGTTATAAAATACTTATAAAAGGAGTCAAGTTTTAGTGTGATACTCTAAAAATAATTAGGATTAGTGAATGAAGGCATCAAATTTGTGAAACATCAAACCATTAGACCTATTAAGCTATATTCTGTGGAAAGATCCAATTATGAGATCCTACATTATTTGCATTTAGCTTTTATGATGATACCATAACGTAAACAAAAAAATAAACTCTATCAAGTACCAACTTTTTTTCTTAGGTTTATCAGTAGCTTAATCAAAAAAAAACCTATATCAAGTAAACTTTGTATCAACTTTTTCCTCAGGTTTATCAATAGAATAAACATAAAAATAAACTTTTATCAACTTTTTTCTTAGGTTTATTTCGTGTTGTCATGTTATATATATTGTGTGGTCTGTAATACAAGAGCACATATCCAAAGAATACACAACAAAACAATGTTTTCAATGTGTCTGGTAAAAAAAACCCTCTCCATTGTACAACAAAAATTGTTTCTATTTGTGCTTACACAACAAACATTTTTCCATATATTTTGGAAAAGATTGCAATCACATTGGGTTAAATTTATTAAAAACTGGGTTGAGTATATCTGTATCCCATCTACTAATGTCTTTATTTGGCATTAAATTTGCTTGTTTTGTATCTATCACTGATTTTTACCCCCTGACATAGTGGCACCACAGTAACAAAGTCACACCGTCAAATTCAGTTTTTGTATAAAAAAAAATTTAAATAAATGTTTTCTTGTTTTTCTACATCATGCAACAAAATGTAATAGTTTTGCAACTTTTTTAAGAGTCAAAAAGGAGGGGTGAGGGAGGAGTGAGCAAAGGCTAATATATACAAAGGATCAATAGAAATTTACAAATAGTGGCAATCACAGTTTTTCTGCCTAGTATTCATCTAAACAGAAGCATTTGGGTTCCGCAAACTCACGCATCTGCCAGCTTTAAGCGAGGAACAATATTCATTGATTGGAGTTCCTAAAAATTGAGAATCAAGTAAAATTGTTAAAGGGGAAAACGGTAGACAAAAACAAAATAAAATAAATATTGCAAGGAATAAGCTAAATTAGTAAATGTCCAGACAGTGGCGACTAAAACAACGATTCATTAAATGTAATAACAAAAATGCATTATATTTTGTACTTGTCATATCAACACAGCCTACTGATCAAAACCCAATGATTTAATAGAATGTGGATGGTTTCAATACAAATTGAACAATTTAAAATTTACGTCGGATCAAGTTCTTATCACTATACCAAAAGTTGTTGATGTGAATAGTGCAACTCTATTTATTTAGAACTTTCTCATAACTTTATTCCAATACAAGGTCTCTCTCAATTATGTGATTGTGTGTCTAATAATTACAACGATTCATTTTAAAGCATAAGAATGTACCCTAAAATAGGCTCTAAGATTGCTCATAATAGATTCATTAATAGATACACATTTTCCTATGGTAAATATATAAGATATTATACCTGAATCATGAGTTTACATGCATATGGCAGCTTCATGGTAGAAATCTTGTCTCCATTCTTACAAGATGAACAAATACCAGTTTTCAGCTTGTGGTTATAATACCCTAACAATCCACACGCTGTACACACCTGTGTGAAAAGGAAATTATCATCACTCACTTTGATTTTAAAGAACAATACTTTCAATATTTCACAAAATCAATCAAACGACTTTTAATCATGGCATGAATATTAAAAGAGACCAGACACATTGAGGTGTATTGTAACTTCTCAAGAGAAAAGATCCAATCTTGAGATGTTAGACTAGTTTTCTCAATTCAAATTGATTAATTTGTGTATGTGTTTACACCAAATCTTTTGAGAGATACTTGGATTAATTATCTTTTAACAACCTAGACAGAGTCATACATGTTTCTAACACTCACCATACGACTTTGTCTTGGTTCAGTGTATCATGTAAATAGTTAAATACAATTATTGGGAATATTTTATTATATTCAACAACAAAAGCCTTATCCCAAAAAGTGAGGTCAACAACATGAATCACACGATGTCACTAGCCTCTTTTAAAGACCAAATTCTAAGACATATTATTCACTACAAGATTTCTTTTAAAAACTATCCTAATGTCTTTCTTGGTCACTCACTTCCCCTTTGCTGATAATATTGTAAACCATTCAACCTCTAATGGAGTGCCAATGTTGAAATGCAATCAAGAACCCAGACATGTACTGTTACCTGGACTTCAAAAGGATCACTAGACAACATGAGTCGCTCATAAATTAACATACTAGCACCATACGCAATCAAGCAATCCCGTTCCATTTCTCCAACACGAAGACCTGAAAATAATTATAAGAAAAAGAATGATGTGAAGCTCTACTAACATGAACTAATAAATAGATAAAATACCGAGTAGATTAGAGCTGCAAGAAAATTTTAATCACAAAATTCTTCAAACTGGGAAATAAAGAGAATTGCAGAAAATAAATATTAAGTTTAACCAAATACAGTTATAGTAAGGTAGGGGAATAGGAGCAGTGATCACAGTGACAATTTTCACTAACATGTAATAAATTATAAAATTTAACAAGAAATAAAATTGAATACCTCCATTTCTAGCTCTCCCTTCTGTAGGCTGTCTAGTTAGCATGACACGAGGACCACTACCACGAGCATGCATCTTATCAAGCACCTGATTAACACCACAGCTTTTATTTGTGAACTTATACACAAGCAAGTTACAAAGGGCATAAAAAAAATATTACTTTCCCCTTTCAATTCTATAGGTTAAATTATAGATATGGTCCCTATAACTCGCTTTTTTTTAATTTTATCCTTCATACATGAAAAAATGTAACAAATCGATCTCTACGGTTATAAAAATATTGGAAACTTGCTGAATGTCTAACACTAGTTTTTTGAGGCATGAGACCTCGCATGTGGAGGGTGCAACCACAATTCCTAAATTGATTTGATTCTAATACATATATTAGTATTTATGGTTGGTCTTAATAAAGATAGACAACCACATAAATGCTAGTGCCTCTTTTATTACTCAAATGAAATAGAAGCAAATTTTTTTGGAAGGACTTCACTAACCATATGTTTTAATTTCTGGTAGTAAATTGGACCCATAAAAATATATGCTTGCAATGGGCAACCTGTAATACCTGAAAAAGAAAAAGTGAATTAGGCCACCTTAGATTGATAAATAGAAAAATGTAAATAACATTGCCTGCATATTTATTGGTGTTGAAAATCAATATATCACATTTAGCATTTATTTATACCAGTTTATAGGCACAAAATTAGAGATGTTCACGGGTCAATTTGGCAAAACTGGTTACCAAACCAGATCAAAATACTATGGGTTATGTTAAGTTGGGTTTGTTTAATTTTTGTCAAACCCAAATTGAACAACCCATTCATGAACAAGTTATAGATTGGGTTGGATCAATTAAGTCTAACCATTTAAAGTTATTTTAAATTTCTAAAAATTATATTTTTTTAAAAAAGTTAACTTATAAGTATGGTATAAATAATATATTTTTGAGAGGCGAAAAAACTTATCGAATAAAGCTCGTATATGCATTTTGAACTAATGTATAGGTGTGCTTGACTCGCTCGAAGACCCATCTAAAATCCCCTACCAAAAAAGTAACTATGTACGGCAATCTAACCAAAGAAAAAATTTCAACCTATTGCTAAAAACAGTCTGTGCTAGAATAAAGACTATTCCAAAAAATTTTAGAAGTCGTTTTATCTACAACCTGAAATGATAACTAAGAAAATAATAACCTGAATAAATGAAATCTTTCCCACTGTAGTTGAATCCTTTACTGACAAGAGTTTCACTGCAAGAGCAAGAAAACTATGAGAATACGGATATAGATAAATCATGGAATTAGTGATATACAAGGGACAAACAAGATACCTTATGGTTTCAACCTTGTCAGCATGACCACTTCTTTCCCCAAAAGCACTGCCATAGTGAAACCTGCCACATGAAACCCCTGCTTTCCCTCCAAGAAGCTCTATCATCTTTCCAACAGTCATTCGACTAATATACCATAATAAAAATAAGTTCCCATATTGAAACATGCATATGATATATTTATTTATTTAAAAATAAAACTGTTTTAATGCTAGATATATATTTTGAACTGATTGTGTTCCATTATTAGTGCACAATTCCTTTTATTTTGTACAGATTTGTTTCCCTAATTTCTTGCATTTGGGACAGATATGGTTGTACACATTTTATTTTCCTGTAATTCAAAGGTTAGCTTCACTAGAATTGGTCTATATCTAATTATCTATATATTATAATTAACTATTGTACCATTGACTCGTTAAAAATAATATTTACTTTTAAAATCTCCCAGTCTTCCACAAAAACAAATTTTTCCCAGTCGTAAAGGTGGAAAATGTTGACCATGTAATAAAGCTATTCAGGTATGGAGTAAATTTGGGTTAAAATGATGTCATTGAGGGACCAGAGAAGAATCCAAAATTATTAAAAATAAATTATTTCAATTATTTGCCTATATGAATGAGAGTTCCATGCATAAGTAAGTTCCCCATACATCATGAAGACAAAATAACACATAAATGAGTTATGTTACCTTGGGAAACCATGAGGATTCATAATCAGATCAGGACAAATGCCTTTCTCAGAAAATGGAAAGTCTTCTTGCGGGACAATAGTTCCACAAACACCTTTTTGCCCATGTCTGCTGCTAAATTTATCACCAAGCTAATTGAACATATTCAGACTAGAAATGAGTACACTACTTAAAACCAATAAACTAATTCATAATAATCCAAATAAGACTTTACCTCAGGCCTACGAGTGTGACGAATAAGAAATTTGATACACATGTTGTTATCCTTATCAGGGCATAGAACCACCCTATCAACTACTTCCCCTCCATGACCCTTGAATGATTGTGCATTGGACCGATATGCACTGCATAAAAAGAAGACATTAGAAAAAAAAATGCAAGCCAACATCTTTACTGACTATACAACAATAACCTGCCTACATTTAAACCAAAAATAAAAACACTAGAAACCTATCAGGCAAATTTGCAGCAGATCCTGTAATTGGAGTACGTGTATCAATAGGTGATTCCTTATTGATATAGATGTCATTTGGCCTAAGGATTTCCCCTGGAGCGGCAATACCATCATTATCAAGTATCTACAGAAAGCAAAAAAACAAAACATCCAATGGCATAAGAAACAATGTCAGACAACTATATCATTCAAATTAATAACAGGTAAAAGAGAACAAAGAATTATGCAGTGTGTTTACCGTACTAGTTTGGTTTACACATGAATAGAAACACAAGTAAATTATAAAACTATAGATAGACACTGTTTCAAATATCCTATAAATTACAATATTTCAAGAAAGATATACAAATGTTAGCGTGTACAGATAGAACAGTCTCTTTCAGTTAGCTTGACAGTTGTATCTATCACTTTCATTTTTACAGTTGGATAGGTCTAACCAACTCCAGCACCATACATATAGGTGCTTTTCCTATAAGTTAATTTTAGATTTCAATTATAAATATTTTGTCAGTATTCCATTCTCTCTCCTTGTTGGCTTATAAGTTATAACACGATATAAAGAGCTTGGAAAGCTAAATTCATGGCTTCCGATCCTTATCGCAGCCCTACTGTGTGAGTGTATGACTCCTGTTGTATTTCAGCTAATCAGTTAGTTTGTTATGAGTCAATTAGGAATCCTCGTGTATAAATACTCCTTCATAAACAGATCTTTGAAAGAATTCATTCAATCACTAAGATTCAGATTTTTTATTTTATATTTCTCTCAATTCTCTCTTATCAATATGGTAACTAGAGTTTTCCATCCTTGATGGCCCCTCTCTCACATTCTATCTCTGAAAAGCTTGAGGACAAAAACTTCCTTATATGGCAGCAACAGGTTGAACTAGTAATCAAGGCACATCGCCTTTCATCATTTTGTTGTTGTTCCAGATATTCTGCTCCCATTTCATTCTTCATATTACAATGTTGCGATTCTCATTTCTGAGTATGAAGCTTGGGAGCAACAAGACAGCTGATTCAATCATCTCACCTATCTACAAGACAGCTGACTTTCATTTTTGTAATAGCTTCTTGTATAAGACTGGTCTAGCTTGTTGAGTTAATTTTCCTTTGGTATAAATGCCAGTTTGTAAACTAATTCAATCATCCAATTCATTTCAATAAAATCAGAAATATCATTTTCCTTTTCTCTCTCGTTCAATTAAAGCCAACCTAAATAATAATTGTCAAATAGGCACATTCCACTAAGACAATTACCATTTCCCAGCTACTGATCAAACTGACCTAATTGCCCAAATTAAAAATTGAAATGACACTATAATAGAAAAAGTGAAATAAAGGAGAGAGATGGAGAGAGATTTTTAGGCAGAGATTATTCTCTTATGAAAAATATTCATTCAACTCTAATCAGGATACAAAAAGAGACAGTTATACATAGCTGACTGGATGACTTGGTAAAGAGACATCAGAAAATAGATTTGTGACAAACAAATTATTACAAAACCAACTAACTTCGAATCAGAACAAATGAAATGCAAATTACATTGAAATGAAACTTAGCTATATCACTAATACACTGATCCAGCAAAGGAAACTAATATGCAATTTTAACCAACTGATTATAAGATAAACGAAGTCTAAACCTTAGGAAAATAAGTATTGTGAAATAAATTAAGTTCAAAGAATTATGAAGGCATATTACCTGCATGCGTCCTGCAGTGTCTGCAGCTCTATTGGGCCGAAGTATTCGGTCTGATGTGCGATTGGAATGTTTCTGAATGATGGCACTATACCTATGCAACAGGGAACATCAAAGTCAACACTTCTACCTTAAAAAGCTTAGACAATAAAATATGCAGCGACCTAATGCATAAAATCACAAAATAAAATTTCATACTTCTTCATAACAATACAACGACCAAACCCACGATCAAGAGATGCCTTGTTCATGACAATGGCATCTTCTATATCATAACCACTATAGCTCATTACAGCTACTGTGGCATTTTGACCAGCTCCAAGCTTATCATATCCAACCTAAAATAAAATAGATTAATCAAATCCATTCAATTATCAAGAAATTAAACAATGAAATTATACTCACCAGCTCAATTGTCTTTGTTGTAAGCAAAGGTCGTTGAGGATAAACCAGTAGGTAAAGCAAGCTATCCATCCGGCGTAGCTACAAATAGAAAGATATAAGTTCATCAATTACGTATTGAGTATGAAATTTCCTCTACACTGACCGACCCTGCTCTACTTAACAGGTTGAGTGAAGCAATATAGTTACTCAGCACACGACATGCAAACAGGAAAAACACTACCCAACCTCAAAAACAAAACAAGAAATTAGACTTAATTTTATCAGAGAAAAGGAGCTATAAAAGTCTCAGAGTATGCCATGTCCGTGCTATGGACCAATGTGCAAGTAACTTCACAAAAGCTCTATCTTCACAACAAACTTGGGACTTTTCCTCAGTTCTCTTTGATCAACCCCTTCAAAGTTTGAGGGCATGTATGATACCTGCATCATTGCAGCTCTCTATTTGATACTGGGCAAGGAGTTACTCTCCTGGTATGAAGTTAGATTACCTATATTTCTTACAGTTGAGTAGAGTTATAGCTTAGAGATTGCAATGTGGGCCACAGGCCAGTCAGCCAATTGCCAAAAAATGGCAGTCCAGGGGTGGACATTTCAGCCCGCCCCACCAAGCATGTCAGATCACTGGGCCAAATGGCAAGCAATGTTAATTAAATATTTTTTTTATTTATTTCGGAACTTGTGTGTCCCTCTTTATTGTAGTATGGTCTTATTATTGAAGAACTATTAGCACTTGTGTTATAATTTTTAAGGACTATTATAATTTTGTGTTGTTGAAAAACTATTAGTAGTAATCTTGATTGAAAAAGAAAGACTTTTATTAATTTTTAATTACTTTTATTAATTTTTAATTTATTATTTTGTATTGTAGTCTTGAAGTTGAAAGACAAATTTATGTTATGAGTCATTTGATTAAATTTGTCAATTGCTGGAAAAAAAATTAAATTTTTCAATTTGAATTAATAGGAAAATAAAAAATATATTTTTTATAATTTTGGTGGGCGGGCCAAGATTTTCAGCTTGCTTTTATCAAGCGGGCCAGTCTGCCTCACCCCATTTTTGGCAGACCAATGGCAAGGCAAGCCAAAACAGGCCAAGCTGGCCCATTTTGCCGCCCCTAAAAACTTATGTCAACCATACAACTGTGCCCAGCAGTAACTAAACCAACCTAGTTCCCAACTATATAAGGATGAGGTTAAGTATGGCTACTCCTAAAGTCATGAGGAACGTGCAGTACTCTTTACGTGTCAGGCACATGCAGGTATGTACCAAAAACATTCAAGTCCACAGTCCAAAGGTAACTCAATCATGGAATTTCCTTCCTAAAAGAACCCATTTTTAATACTAATGGGGATCTGAAATTTTAACAAAATGAAATACAAGGAAAATATATGATTAATTCACATGTTATATAGATATATTTTAAAGGCAATATTCTGATTCTCCAACATCTTGGTTCATATTTGAGAATATTCTATGGCATGTTGAGACATAAAAATGTAATCATGTGCAAATCTTTAGAATTTAAAAAATAGACCCAGGTGGACACAAATTTATATGCTTGTAACTATTTGCATTTGCATGCATGCATTAAGGTGAAGCTATTGAAAATTGATTCATTCAAAAAAAATCTAAACTTGATGATTTTAATTTCATTTAATCCAAAGATCAGGCAATTGCGGAACTCAAGTCATATAACCAAGAAAACTTTACTTACCTGATTAAATGCTATATTTCCCATAGCTTGCTTCCCCATTGCACACTACACAGTGAGCAAAACAGTAGTAATTTCAGGTTGGAAGATGAACAAACATCATTCATAGAAATGCAAAATCATAGAGAGAGGGGGAAGGAGAAGGGAAGACAACCTGATATGTGTTTCTAGGTGACTGATTATGATGAGGATATGGAATTAACCCCGCAATAACTCCCAATATAGTAAAAGGCTCAATCTCAATGTGAGTAGTTTCTGGCGTGGCATCTCCTTCATATAAAGCAATCTAAAACAAAGAAAAAAGGCAACTGAGGTTATCAGTTATCAGGAATAAGATAAGATTTCATAGATGAAAGAAGCTAAATTCAATAAGAGCAGAACAAACCAAAGCATTGTTTTCTTCATTAACATCAAGATACTCAAGCAACCCATCTCGTAAAAAATCATCAAATGTGCGAACTCCATCCTGAAAAGGCATACAATTGACTTTTCACAAAATACTTTCTTTGTTTCAAGGATAAAGCATATAAACGCTTACCATTAACTCTTTCATATGATGCTGTTTGATTCTTGATATTCCCTTGTCTGCAATGACAAGGGGACGGCAAACTCTGCCACCATCAGAAGCTAAGTAGACACATTGCTGTAAACATGTTTTTTTTTCCTTTAAGATCAGCATTCATTCACATACTTTAAACATTAAAAAAAATAGTTGTTGATATACAATAATTAAATTGAAATCATAAATATTATGGTTTGGAGAAAACATGTACCTCCTAAAAATGTAAAACAATACATTAGAACCAAATAGTATTTTCTTGAACTACACAAATTTATCAAGCAAAAACAAAATAATTGAAGCATAAAACAGGAAAATAACAAAAACAAAGGGGATGGGGAATGGGGAAGAAACACAACTACAACCGAATTATTCACCTGCTTATCGTTGACATAGACGCTCACAAACTCGCCAATTTTACCAGCTCTACGTAACTTTCTAATTGCAGCAGCAAAACGCTTGAACAAAAAACGATATTAAGTTTAACAATAAATAAGAATACAATCATGAACGGTACTTTTACAAATTATACATTTGATGAAAGAGAAACAAATACCTGTGGCCTCCTATGTTTGCCAAGAATCAAACCATTAAAAATGACAAGAAAGGAATCTGGTGTATGAAGCTCCTCGGCAGAGAGACGTCCCGTGTCTTCAACACCCAAATAATAGCACTGTCACAAATATAATGAAACACTATAAATTGCAATAATCTACATTAAACAATTAAGTACATGGAAATCAACAGTATTTTACATCTATATCAAACAATACAATTGAAATAGCAGCACAATGACTATTTCAATAAAACAAAATTGAGAGAAAAACTTCTCTCATAATAAAGGGAGAAAAAAATTGGAAAGGACAAGGTATCTCCTAAATTGGAAACCAATTACATACGCACTCTAGCTTGAGGAGGAACGACTTGTGTCCCACATTGGAGGTATGGGATTCTAGTGCGGGGTAATAATATCTAGCTTTTGTCGCGTGGATCTCCCCCAACACTAAGTCATATACCTTGCTATAATACCTAGCTTTTGTTGGTTCATATAAATCCTTCTACCATGTATTGGAGTATAGTTTTACTTTTTACTTAAATGTACAGAAGTAGTGTAGGACCTTATATTTTTCTGTTTTATTATTTTCTATTGATTATTTAGTCAGTTAATGCTGTTAGTCATATTTATTATTTTCTTTAATGGGCCCAAGAGCTCCTGTTAGAAGCTGTTGTCTATATATAAACTACATGTATTCTCTATTCGGTGGGTTGAATGCATATTTTACATTTTAGAAATACGCTCTCAACTTCTCTTATATCTCTACTACCATGTCTCTCAGATGCAAATGAGCAGCATAGGTGGTGGTGCCAGTCAAAGACTCATGTGGGCACCAAGGCTAGTCAAAGACTCACTATTACCATGCCTCTCAGCTGCATTGCAGTGTAGAGCACTACGAGCTCATGTGAGCAGTGAGCACCAAGGCAGCAAAGCGAGGTAGGATGTTAAGATCTATTGAAAATGAGGATAGAATATTTACATTTAATGTATAGAGGTTTATACCCACAAAATCACTGATTTAGAGGAAACATAATATCCTCTAATTATTTGTAATTAATACAATAAGCCTATATAAACATATATATGTGGTGCTTTAAGAAACGGTTTTTCTGCCTATTACGACTTTAATTGATCCAATAGCAAGGTATAGGACTTGAGTCCCACATTAGATGTATGGGATTCTGGTCATTTTCAAACATGATATAAAAGCCTCTCCAATATTCAAATTGGTGTATATGAGGTCCATCATGAAAAGTCCACACTCCAAACCTCCAACCTTGAATGTCAGGTGATGTTAAATCCCCCCTTCTTAATCTAGCTTGTGTTTGTATATGCTGAGTGTTGAGAAGATGAAAAGAGGGTGGACAAGACATATGAGAGGAAATTTAGAAGGAAGAAGAAACAGACTTTAAAGGTAAGGTATGACAAAGGAAAAGAAATGACTTGAGACAAGTTGAAAATATACTAAAGTGGGCATAGTGACATGTGCGGCCACCAAGGGTATAGTGGCTAGAAGCATAGAGTGAGAAGGAGAAGAACTTGAGACAAAAGGAAAGAAATCTTTGTATGGGAATCTAAATTCGTTGAATACCACATCTTTGGATATGAAGAGTTTACCATCCCAGAAAACACATTTGTAACCTTTATGCCTAGTAGAGTTACCAAGGAAAAGACTCCTGAGATCTGAAATTTGTGATTGTGATATCGACAAAGAAATGAAACAAAATCAACCATAGACATAAAGAAACTTAGTTAATGACTAGCTACCAAAAGTAATAGGGTCTCTAACCAGGCTACAACTTTCCAATGAACTATCTAAACTATTTTTATTGGAACATAATGAATGACATTTAGCTAGCTAGGAAATAGTAATCAATGACACTATCATATTCACATACAAACATTTTACACATATTAGGCAAAAACAAACCTTATAAGGTTGTTCTTTGGAAGCCTTCTCCTAGCGGCTTATATTTTTAGTTCAATTAAATTGATATTCAATCTAGTATTGAATTTTAACCCTAACAAAAATTTTGATAACATAAATCCCACTACCCGCATATAACATCTTTAATTAGTGTACAAAAGCAGTCATACTAAATTACTAATAAACAGAAAAGGAAATTTTCATCATCTGTAACATCACACAAAACATACCAGAGAAATCAAGGGGGCTTCCTCTTCATCGGTAGTAACATGAGTCATCAAAGCCAAGTTCTTCACTAGTCCACAAGACTCACCTTCAGGGGTATCACAAGGACAAAGCATGCCCCACTACCAAATGGAAAACATCAGAAAATAAGGCAAATTTTCATAAGTAGATAAGATTTTATAAGAATAAAAAGCCTGAGTAAAATAAGAAAAAAAACAAAACTCCTTCCCACCAAGCACAGTAAGGTACAAGGATCACACAATCCCAGCATTTTCTATCCAAAACCCATCAAAAATGAGAATGATGCATCAAAAAAGCAAAAAAGATACACATTGGATTGCATCTCACCTGACTAGGCTGCAAAGCTCTAGGTCCACTTACTTTCCTTGACTTCTCAAACTGTGGTGAGACTCTTGTCATGTGGCCCAAAGCACCAATAAACGATAACCTTTGCAACACCTGTAAAGAGAGAAATTTATCAAAGGAAATGTCTTGTGTTAGATAATTCCAAGTCCCATGCACCGGATCCAGAGAAGGTGACTCTGTTATAGCAAGTATCTAGAGTAGAGATAGGAAGAAAATACATGAAAGGGAACCAATATACAACCTGTGTCATTCCTTTCCTTTCCATTCTAAACCTCTTAATTTCAAAATTTCCAGTGGACAGAGTCCTCTCCAGACCAAGACTGATGGTATCCCCCAAACGAACAAGATTCTATGAACATTCACAAAGAAAAAATGTTAATTAGAAAATCAGACATACTAAGATCAGCAAAGTTAATAGATTTTAGATTTTACATTGAGTTGACACATGAATAAAGAAAGTTTCAGCTACATTTCAACTTTCACATTCCCAACAAACCATCACTCCATAAAAATCAGAAACTAGCCAAAAGATCACATTCTATTCAGATGTTGACTACTTGTCAACTTCTTTTGTTAAAGGCTCAAAGCATGCAGAAATTGCTCCTGCCATTGTCTCAAATAACAGTACATTTACAACTAACAGATTGTAATAGGTTGAGAATCAAAATTATGGCACAAAATTTTCATTAACCACAGTTGATCAATACTGGATAGAAGCATCAAACAGCCAACTCAGAAAACACTATAGAAAGATAGTACAAAGCGGGATGGCCACAAATTTAAATATTCTAATACAAAGTAAACAATTTATACTACGCATAAATACTTAAAAAAAAATTAAGGAACTCGTGACAAATAATAAGTAACTTGTCATTTTAACAAAAAAAAAATGCATTAGAAAATGAGCGTGAAATCACAATTTACCCAAAGAAAAATGCCCCTAAACAACACTATTTTAGAAGTAGAAATGGTTTTTTGAAGCCTATATAATGGTATTGTCACAATAGCAGCTGAAAAAGCTGCTATGGCACAGCAATTGAAAACCACTCTCCTATTTGAATCCCTTTGCGGCAAAGGGAAGCTCTGCTCTGCTACAGCATACTATTGACTACTATGTCACAAACTTCTGGATTTTAGGTTAGGAGCAATTTTAACACAACAAAAAGGGAAGGCATAAACTTGGACTGACAAGCCAAAAATAAAGAAGAAAATAAGATGGAAAGGGTGATGGAGGACCATCCATGGAGCTTCATGTGAGACCCATCACTAAGCCAATGGCTAAGAGAGTGGAAGAGGATAGGGAACTGTATAAAAGCAATTTTTTTAAAGACAAGCCAGAGGATTCAAGAAAGATTTAGCAAGATTCGGTTTGATTCAAGAATGTTTAATTCCATTCACATGATGCTTGATTCAACATATCAAAGAGTCCTTACATGTCTTCATGGCCCTTAATAGAGAGAAGCCCAAAATTCAATGTGTACCACAACAAGAAGGGGTGCAAAGCATCAGATCACATCTAGGAAAGAAAAAGGGTGTGGCAGAGCCACAGAGGCACTGACTGCTTAGTGGAATAACCTACTAAGGCAGTTAGGCATGGTATATAGGGAGAGAAGTGGTGAGTCACATGAGTGGGTTGCTAGGGCTGGAACTTACCCCAGTGTATTAAACATAAACAGCAATTTTGCATGAGGATGTTTTTAGGGACTTCTCCGTAACCAATGCATTTTTAGGGACTCTTCTTCAACGAGGGAAATTTCAGGAGCTTTTTTAACTTCTTATCTAATTTAATTTTTATTTTACATATTTATTTCTGAATTAAATTTTAATACTTTGAAAATAAATTATCAATAATTAAGCATAATTTTGTGCTACAATATAAATTATCTATCATAAATCTAAAATATAATTTAATGTTCAAAAATATCTATTTATATGTGGTGAGTCACATCATTTAAGCAACCAATACGTAACTCACTACATTTTTTCTCTAATGGTAAAATTTTAAGCAAAACCTTTTTCAAGGTAAGATTTACCAGTTTTTTCTCTCTTTATCTCAGTTTGATGGTGTAAAAATAAATTTTTTATCCATAAGCTACAATATCTTATATAAGATACAGAGCTTAAATTTAAGATACTCTGTGTTAAGAAAGCCAACTCCAATGGAAAAAACTAAATAATAAGACACGGTTGTGTAAACATAAGATACTCATAAGGTATTAGCATTGTTGATGTTCTAAAGGATGCTACCAGGGTCTCTGGTCCAGATAGTGAATAATACAGTTTTTTCTTTCCCATTTTGGGTGATGAGATTCTTTGGTACCTTACTTATGTCGATGTTCTTAGCCTTGTCTGGTTTATCTAACAATTTGTCAGTCAAATTCTTAAGCTCGGTTGTCATTGACTTAAAGAGATCCTACAACAGAAAGTAAAATATCAATTAATACAATGAAAAATGTGCAGATATATCTGAAGAAGTGAGGTAACTCCAGAAAGTAAAATATCAAATTAAACAAGATAGTACCTCAAAAAGCAGAGATATTAACTGGCCAGATAACTCCAACCGCTTGTTTCCCACATAATCCTACAAGTTAAAAGCACATAGCAGATGATCACTAACTCTTCTCCTTCATTATAGAAATTAAAAGCAAATTAGCAGATGATCACTAACACTTCTCCTTCATTGTGAATATCCAAAGCTAATACCAAGTCATATAGTGGAAACACCTATGTTAGAGATACAAGATCTTGCTGCTGTATGTACTGCAATGCAGTGCATGACACTGTATCCTAATGGACCTAACCTAGCAAGTTAGTTCTTTGTTACTGCCAGTTAATATCAGTTAGTGATTTTTACAGTTAGGTTTCTGTTGTTCAGAGCACTTGTGTTCTTCCTCTACTCCAGTTTATTAACATGGTATCAAGAGATTAAAGATCAATGACTGAAGAAACTCCCTCTTTCTTCAACTCTCCTCCTCAACCACCACCAATTCATGCCTCTCCAATTCCAACCCATCCTCCTCCACCACCACCAGAAAACCCTCAATCTCATCATTTAACAAAACATGAAAGTGTTAAATGACACCAAAAAAAAAAAGAAACAAAAAAACAGGGACATAAAGTTGAGGAATCACTCTAAACATGACTCTAGAATATACAATGTTACTTTCTTGTATCCAGTCAATTCTTTTTGTTAAATATATGATCTGATATGATTGATTCTTTTGTAATTAGGGAAACTTGTATAGAAAAAATTACGGATTCTACTCATTATTACCCATTATCTTTTATTTCCATATTTCCTTATTTATTATCCTTATTCATTATAAATAGAGGATTACATGTGTGGTAATGTACATGCATTTTCTCAGCATTTCTACATGGTATCAATAGTATAAAGGTTTTATTTTTCTGGTTTTGTTTTTTGCTCCAGTGGCTAGGCATGAATAGTAGCCACGACCACGACCCCTTTGCCACTGTTTTTCAGTCTCTGGTGTACTGTTCACACACCCAACGCAAACGTGCATTTTTTGCACGGTTGGTACTCCTTTCTTTGGCCTTCCACCATCCTGGCAACCCTTCACAACTGTTTTTTGCTGCTGTTTTGTGTCCACTTCCAATTGTGGATCTGCTGTAACTTTTACCACAATTTCATTGATTCCATGTGAAAAGTTGATTGACAGCCAACAACGAGACTTGGGCCACTACTGTCCAGTTGTGGTTCCAAGGCCAAGGTCATGCAACTCACTTGACCACCCAAACCAAGGATGTCCCTGCCATGGTTCGAGTTTGTTGGCAGCAAGCTGATGCTTCTTTGTGTAGTGTTATATGGTTTTCTCTTACTCCCAACCTCCAAGCGCAGTTTCAGGCATATCCATCTTTCTATGAGGTGCGAACTAAAGCAAAGAAGGTCTAACCCAGTGATGTCCACTGTCTCTACAGTGTCATCAATAGCTTGATAAACACCAAATTGGAAAGCATGGATATGCAAACCTACCTTGGTAAGCTTGATTGTTTAATTGCTAACCATAACACTCTCATGCCCTTTTACAGGTGATGCAAACACTTTATAATCAGCGCAGCTTGTTCTTCATGACCCTTGCCATTGCAGGTCTCACATTTTAAGGGGTTTCCACACTTTTAAACTACTTTGCTTGTGCCGCCTTCCTTTATTGATTTTCATAATAGAGACCAAAAAACTTTGGTGTTGTTCTCAGTTGTATTTGGTTGAAATAAAATGCTAGAATCTTTTATGGGTGATGGTACTCTATTGAGTTCATTCGGAATTTGACTCAATTGAGTAGTCTCTCTAGCTTCCTTGCGGTGCTCTGCTTATGATGTTTTTAGTTGTTGCATGCTATTCTTTTTTTAGTTTTTTTCTTAGTTCTTGGGAATTTCTTATCATCTTTCATTTGTATCTTTCTCTTCTATATTAATGATTAATTCTATGTTTATTAAACAAAAAATAAGAAAGAAATATACTACTTTGTTATTCATTGCATCTTTATTTAAAATTGCATCTATTATGCATCTCTGCTTATGACTGTTTTAGGGGGTGTCATAAATCAATACAGTCGTGTTGCATGTTTTTTCATAATCTTGGTTTTTTGGTTAGTTCTTGTGAATCTTTTATCATCTTGCATTAGTATATTTATCTTCTATCTTCAAAATTAATAATAAATTCTTTGTTCATAAAAGAAAATAATGAGAGAAATAGATACTACCTTGTCATCCATAGCATCTTGATTTAAAATTGCATCCAGTATGCGTCTCATCATAACAGCAACATATATACATTTCTGCCGAAAATTATCTTGATCCACCTAATGATAACAGAGGAAGCAACTCAGACCAAACCAAACACAAAGCAAATTACATGAATTCTGATGAGTACACAGTGAACTAAAGCATATTCAGAATAATTTGTCTCATTTCTTTTGTACTTTCTCTTAAATCTCATGAACTGAATACAATGAAATCAAGTTGCCCAAAAAAAAAAAAAATTCAAAAGATGCTTAAGATTCAAAGAAATCTTACAGGCACATTTGCAAGAAATACATCTCTTAGGACAGAAAAAGCTCTTCCTTCCTATGTAAAAGGTTCAAATGACAACCACAAAATTGAAGAGGAAAAACAGAGATTAATATAATATTTTATCCAAAGCATGACAATGTAAAAAAAAAAAAAAAAAACCTTGCAAGAGAGACAGAGATAGATGAAACCTTTTCAGCTGAATTGTTTGAATACATGGGACGTTTTACCTGATGCGAATCATCAATAAATACAGAAAAAAAAATTATTATTTGCATGTATCTAAAATAAGAAAAGCTGAAAAAGGTGTATAAATCAAAATCAGAAACTGCGGTTAAATTGTCCTTTTTCTTATATTACTCAATAAGTATCTGCATGAATTGTTCTGAAGAGTATTTAACAGCTTTTATCTATTATTTCATAAGAGAATAATTCACTAAGAGAAAGAAGACAATCCATAATATAGTCCATCCTCCTAGAAGAAAAAAATAAACGGGAACATTAGCTCAAAAAGAGATCTCCAATTTCTTATAAATCTATTGGAACCAACATTCCCTGTCCAGGGAAGGTACTGAAACAAATATCTTGAACTTCAAGTAAATGGAGAGACTAGCTCCATATGACAAAGATAGACCTCCATAAATTTAAAAAATAGACCTTCAAGTAAAGGCTCCTTTTGTATCTGATTTCCTTTTGTTCAGATTTAATATATATATATATATATATATATATATATAAATATATATATATAGAGAGAGAGAGAGAGAGATCAGTGGAGATAACAATATACACTGATTTTTTTCCCTAAAACAAAATCTCCTAATATTCAAGTCCTGTAATTATGTTAAGTTTATATTCCTATTTCAATGAACACGCTTTCACATATAATTCTTTTACACTTAAAACACATTGGAATGATTTGAATGAACACAAAATAAATCACAACATATACATATTTGCCATTTTGGAGTTTCCTCTGGCATTTTCATCGATAAAATAGATATTTCTAGATGACATTAGAATGAAAAGACAGAAAAATATAAAAGTTAACACGTTTGTAGTTTCTAAATATAAAAGAAATATATTTTTTATGTATTCTCCTATTGTTTGCTATAGACAGATCAGCAATATCTTTTTAGTAATCAAAATTTAAATGATGTACTAAAAGTTAGAAGAGAAAACTGTCCAAGCAAAAGGAGATTACATAAAATAAATATTTCATCCGTGGAAAAGCAATCTCTAACAGAAAAAATGACATCTAATAAAGATCAAGTATTACATTTAGATTCTCCCTCTCACACTATTAATTTCCAAGACAACACAAAATTCAAACAAAACTGGAATAAGGATAAAGGAAGGAAGAATATCTACAAATATACTTAAGGAAGATCAATTCCACAATAACGCATTCATATCAGGGAACCATCACCAAAAGAATTTATGTCTATCCTCCTAAGTTCGAATAAAATATAATACAAAAGCCACAGAATTTGAGATGTACAATAAAACTAACTGTTTCTGATGAGAAACTAAATTATCTAATTGACTACAATATAATAATAATAAAAATTAATAAGAAAAAACAAAGTTTGGTGTCTTTGGTGGCATCAATACAAAGTAAAATGATGTTCAAATTTCAAAATGTAACTTGATGATTTAACATCAGTGGTCCACCTCAACACAAGAAACAAATAATGACAATTAGACAAAAATAAGAAAGAAAAACAAACCTTTGAATCAAGGTATTCTAATGCTTGCTCTTGCGTATATACCTTACATTTTGTACATTCCTGATTATGGGGCACAACATATTTCACAGTTAATTAATAGCAAAAGTAATAATATAATTTACTGTACATAAACTAAGAATGAACAAGAAAGCATGTAATGTATCACAGAAGTCCCTTGTTTCTCCGATTTCTTATAATTTATTGTTGATAGAAGCATCATCGCATTTGACATAACAAGTATGGATATTAATTACCTCAATAGAGGGCAACAGTAGCAAACTGTAACGAGGATCTCTTCCAACCATCTGTATAACTTCTTGATCACTCTCCATCCCCATAGCTTTCATAACTACCATAAGAGGAACCTATAGTATTACAGGAAAAGAAAATTACAAAAGCCTAATTGATGGAAAGAGAGAGCTAAAGGTAAATTATCCATATTTAAAATGAGCAAAAAGTAAAACCTTCTTAGGAAATTGATTCAATTGTAACCACAGCTTCTCATTTTCCATCACAATAACAGTTTTTGTTTTTATTTTCTCCGTGCTGCATGTAACAGATGCAGTAATGCTGAAAGCCAAAATAGGAACCAAACACTTTAAAAGTTAAAACAACATAAAACAGAATCATTGGTAATCTATATAGAGGATATGAACGTACAAAATTATGTTTTTCATAAACAAAAGAAAACTCATCAAAGGAAAAAGAGAATAAATACAGCTAGGGGAAGCATAAGATAATGTCAGACCAACCAAAAGAAATGAAAGATACTGTATTATAGAAGAAGATGAAATGTATTACAGAGATAAAATCTGCAATACTCACAGAGCACAGCTCCTGACCCACTACTAACAAAATTCCTCAAAACTGCCTACAACTCCCATTCCTTCTCTCTCCCTAAATGGGATTACACAAAAGCATAACTAACTTCCCGTCTCTCACTGCATAATTTCCCCTTTACCCTTCTACTTCTATTATTTTTTATTCCTCCTGCTGTATGACTTCAGACCCATGGCCCATGGCTGAGTTGGACCGAGCCAGCTAATTTGTGAGGCCTAACAGATAACATCCAACAACAACCAAGCCTTATGACCTTACCCTAAAGAAAAAAATCAGTTTCAATCTAGAAACAAGGATATAAAATTATTATAACTCCCATAAAAATGAATTTAACAGAGAACATGAACAAGTTGACAGATGCCACTATTTGTCAAACCTATTCTTCTCTTTTGGTGATAAAAGAAGCGAACTCATAGAGATAGAATGGATCACCAAGCACAAGAAAGAAGAAATCCACCGAGAATAAAATACAGGAAGATAAAATTAGCCAAAAGAAATCTCAATTAAGAAATTCTGCATTTACCATCAAATTTTTTGTACACCAAAGCTTCATACTTTCAATTGATTCATGCTATAAAGCATACAATATGATTTCACATTTACAGACTGGTAGAGGATTTTCATGCAAAAAACTTTTTTGTAATTCCTCGCAACTTGCTCAAGGAGAGCTACTTCACTTCATGACAAAACCCTTTTGGAATCCAAAGCCCCCTCTAAGGACTAGCCTTTTATATGGACTAGGGTGCTTAATAGAATTCATTTGACTGACATGTTTTTATCAAAATAAGAATACTAACCATATAGTCTCAGATTGTGAATAAAATCAGAAACATAAACGATGACTAGTAGAATCGAAACACTTCGTGCCTCTCTATATTTTATTTAAGAATTTAAAAATAAAATATAAAAAAATTGAAGCTAAGTGATAAAATAGGTGGTTAACAATTTGGGGATTTGAGTGGTTACAGGTGATAAATTTTGGTGAGAATAGAAATAAATTTCAATGTTATTTTTAATTATCTAAAGATTTAGAGGGTAAGCTCATCAAAAAATGTGGAGACAAAAAACCATTACAAACTAATGTATCCCCTTTATATATAAGTATAGATTTTGACAAGAGACTAAAGTTAACCCATTCTCCATCTCATTATTTTCTAACAGGCTGGACATTCTCCCAAACCTAGAGCTGAAGTCAATTAAAAGGATGAGTAGAATACCAGAGGAATAAACCTACTTGAAAAAACATGGACACTGTTTGCAGATTAATTGCTTGAAGGACAAGTCATATTAGATGTATATTTTTATACACAAACAATTGCAATCATATCCTTTGATCACAGGGATTATAACTAAGTGAATTAAAGTCAAATGATTTGCATACAGCAAGTGTCTAACTTTAGGAGGCTAATTATATTAAACAACATTCATCAGACCTTGTTATCACTTTGGCAACACCAAATTACCTGGTATGTAATTAAACATTTCAATTAAAGAGCATTTGTACTATAAGGCTACCAAATAGGATAAAAATGAGGAATGAGATGGCCACAAGTGACATGGAGACATGCTTGCATGTATAAGCAGAGGCAAATATGAAAAGGCAAAATAAGGCAACCAAATAGGATAAAAATGGGAAAATAGGTGGCCGCAAGTGACAGGTACACATGCTTGCATATGAAAAGGCAAATAAAATGGCACAAAGTACCAAGAACAATTGCTTACTTTTTTTTCTTGTCAGTGTCTATAATTATTCTATTCTTTGACAGTTGCTCTTGTATCAAAATCACCTGAAATTGATTGGTGAGATCATAATTTGTTAAAAGAAAACAAAAAACCATCATGATGAAATAAAAGGAGATGTGTTTGGATGAGATTATTTTTTTAAAAAATATGAAAGTTGTTGTCAAGGATCCAGAATTAAAACAACTGACAAGTTTGTTGGATATGTCAATTTAAAATGCTTAACCATTTATCCTTGTAAAAATATCAATTTTTTCATTTTTTCACTCTTTCTTTAACGACACAATTAATTCTCTCAACCAAAAAGATTATATGATTGGCAGCGCCTCTAACTTGGACAAATGAGAAAATAAAGTCAGAATATCACCTTCTCAGTCCCTTTGATTACAAAATATCCTCCAGGATCAAGGGGGCACTCACCTAATGAAAGCAAAAATAAAGGAGGTAAGACTTTGTAGGTATAAAAAATAAAAAATAAAAAATGGGGGAGGGGGGAGGGGGGAGGGATAATGAGAAAAATGAACAATACAAACATATATATCTGTCTAGGTATATAACCATATAAATATAAATTCATACGAACCGAGTTTAGCAAGTTCAGCTTCATCTCTCCCATACAAGACACAACAACAACTCCGCAGCATAATAGGCATACTTCCAATAACAACACCAGGCTGTGAAAAGAAAAACAAAGCCAAAGTTAGTTAACAACACAGATCTTTGTCAAATTCAGATTACAGTTGTGTTCAAGTACCCTTCTTTCTTTTGTTGGGTTATCGTGACTTCCTTGTGTGTACTCAACATCAACATATATTGGAGCCGCATACCTTTTTATTAGACAACCAAAAGAAAAAAAAAGAAATCATAATTCATAAATTCAGCACAGCAAAAAAATGTATCACATTTGATCTAACTAAAACATTCAATAATTATAAGTACTCCAAAAAATATTTGTATTGCAATGAACTTAATTGATTTAAGAGAATACATTTCCATAATAATCAAAACTCTATCAGTATTTAAGCAATATCCATTAAAAAAAATAGAACATGTTTTGAGGGTAATGAATCTCACGTTTGGTCACTTAAGCGGCACATTTGTGGAGTAAGTTCCTCAGTAATACCCTCAACTGTTCTTGATGGTTTACCAATTCTGACATTTGAAAACCTGCAGAACAGATCATTGTACATCCACTAATCAGTAAAGCTTGAAAGGACTAAAGAACCATAGAATACATGTTTCAAATTAACCACCATCAATTATCAGAATTAACTTGACCCCATTCCTCAATTCCCCACCCACCCCACATTTGAATACTTTAATTTAATTCATAGCATAAAAAAAATACAGAATACCAAATCAGACAAGATCTAAGCAAAGAATCATCTGTACCTTACATATATATGCTGGTACCTACTTGCCACCATAAGATTGTTAGCCCGAACAATTTTCCTTATCCCAGTCCTAACAAAATAGTTAAAGGAATCCAAATGTTGCTTCACCAATCCCCTAACCTACCAAATTCCAAAGTGTCAAGAAGTTATTGCTTCATCAATCACTCATTGCTTTATTATCTAACAAACCATCATATAATTGTAATTCATACTACACATTGAGTTACCTTGAGGAACTCGGGAAGAAGCTGGAACTTGTCAACAGCAGATTTTATAGGAGCAGTTAGGATCCTTTGGTCAAAGCCAGAGTCATCCAAAGGGTCACTCTGTACCTTGTTGCCCCCACTGAACCTTAGGTCATAAAAACCAAAATTAAACCTTGGTCCGGTTTTAAGAACATTGGTAAGAGAAACGAAGAAAGAAGTACTCACTGATCGTGTTTGAGACCCACAACCATGATGGGTCTGTTGTAGCACTCTGCACACAATGCTAAACCTCGCTGATGAGTCAGTACCTATCAGAAATAATAGCTAAACTAAAAGAAATTAAACATGATTCATGCCTAAGTGATATTGCAAACAACCAACACATTGCCATGAGTCAAGTATGATAACAGAGCAGAAATATATAGATGTTGAAGCCTCTAATCAGAAAACCTTCAGGATCAATGAGAATTTAGTGGTATTATTTCTACGTCACCGGTGCAACACCGCAATAGAATAGTGCAGCAGCCAGGGGCACATTCCATCAAAATAATCATGAACTTGATATTGAGTAGTGTGAAATTGTTTTAAAAAAAGAAAAACAGTTTTTAAAATCAAAAAGCAACAAGGGAATCAAACAGGCCCTTAGTGTCTCAAAGTCCATGAGAACTTGTCCAATGACAGCAAATTGAACGAACGTGAAAATTCCATTACAATGACAAATGTGTTTCATACGCACTTGAACAAACACGTTGTGTGCAGTGATCGAACAGGAAAAGAGCGAATAAGGTACAGGAATGGAATTACACATAAAAACACAGAAAGGGAAAACACATAGGAAGATGAGACGCACCTTGATGATTATGCAGCTGTGGCAAAATTGTTAACCGACTCTAACTATAAAGTGATGCACGAAGACGAAGAACACAGAGTGGTGTGAGCGAAGAGCAAACTACACGAGGGTTTTTGTTTTTGCACCTCACTTACCGTTTCAGTCAGGGTTTATGCAAAGTATCAAAATAAACGTATAAAACAAATATTATTTCGACCTTTTTTTTTGTTACTGTTTATCTTAAGATTTATCTTTAAATTAATCTGATTTAATAAGATAAAGATACGTAAAATTTGATAATAAAAAATTCGCTGAAAATTAAATTCAAATACTTTTTGAATAATTTCACCTTGAGTTAACAACATTATAATGAAAGAACTATTTTATTATACGAATATGATAATAAAAAGAACTATTTTACTATATGAAAGTACCAACAATACTTTCAAAAGAACTATTTTAAAGAAAACTATGTCTAAAAAATGCCTTAGTATTTAATTTAAAATTATCAATTTTAAAAACGAGAATTATAAATAATAAAAATAGTAAAATAATATTACAATAAATATCATAAATATTTTTAAAAAAATAAAAATATTTAAAATATACACAACTAATTATCACAATATTATTATTATATTTTTATAATATAATATCATTATTAAAAAGGTAACTATAAATGATAAAAATTAGATAAGATTATTTCATATTATATCATATACAAATCATATCATATCATAATAACTCCTATATACTAACGATAATATTTTTAAAGGATATTCTAATAACGTTTTTAGAAAATTTTTTAACTTCTTATAAAATTTAACTTTTTTACTTATCATATTATTTATGAATAACATTCTTAAAATAAATTATCAATG